AACACTTAAGAAAAACTTTCTTACAGCACTGATTACAAACTGGCATTTTACAGGCATCACATTGGGTACCATTTTTTCTGTCTTAATCACTGGGGCACATGGCACAGCTATTACTTTTGCTTTTGTCAGTACGTTGTGTGGGCTCTGCTATAACAGGAATCTCTGTTCCAGGAGTTCTGGTGTAAGTTTTCATGCTTTTATGAGCACTTTTTTTAGTAGCCAGTCTGGAACGCAGATTTTCCTCAATTAACTGCATCCCAAGGGCTTTAATAAACTCAAAATGTTAGGCCAGGAATGGTGAGGCATGCCTGTAATACCAGCATTTGGGAGGCTGAGGCAGGACGATCATTGAAAGTTGGAGCTCAGCCTGGGCTACAAAGTGAGCTCAAGGCCAGCCTGAACTGCATAGGGAGACCCTGTCTCAAAAAGACTAAATAAATAAATATAAAAATAAAATCAGCATGTTTTATTGTTTCACTGAGTTGTGCAAACTGGTATAATAGGTGGAAGTTAACACCTGTGACATATATTTTTTATTTTATTTTTTATTTTTTGTCTTTTTGAGACAGGGTCTCACTCTTCAGTTCAGGCTGACCTTGAACTCACTTTGTAGCCCAGGCTGGTCTCAAACTCACAACAATCCTCCTGCCTCAGCCTCCTAAGTGCTGGGATTACAGGCATGTACCATCATAACCCACCTAGAATAAACAACTCTTGTAGGATATGATAAGGTGGATTTGGTCAGAATAGCTACCTTTAATTCAGCACCAGCACATATTTCTGCCTTTAGCATGTAATGAGTCTTAGCATCAGCTAAAATCTGCAACAGCAAGCGCAAGGTCATGAATTCGGTTCCGGTACCAGAGAAAAACCAAAAAAAAAAAAAAAAATCTGCAACTTTATGACATATTTAGTTGGCTTGTTAGGCCTAAGAATTGTAAAACTGTATCTTCCTCAAAATAGTACTATCACCACAGTGAGGCAAAATCCAGGAGAACAGCATGACTTTGACAGGTGACAAATTCATTCCATAGACACAGGAGCTAAGCTGTTTATCTTGACTTTCTTTTTTCTAGGTTCTACATTATCAAGTCTAAGTCAACATACTAAAAAGGAGCATCGGGGCTGG